CCCCCTGCCCACCATCCATCATTCTCCAGCCTTTCAAAACAGCCAGCATGTGCAGGTAACGCTGTACCATGTATTACCAGGAAGCAATGATGTACCATAAAGGATTTTGTCCTGAGTGTGTGATTAATTATTAAAGAGGTGTCTTCAATCCGTTAGATAAGTTTAATGTTTAGTTAGAGGATTCAAACACTAAAGGGTTTGCCCCTTGACTTTGCACACAGTTGCTTAGGTGTCAGTTCAAGAGAAAATGGAACAGAAAGGCAAATTGTGTGATTTTGTTTTGTTTGCAGTACTATATGGATGCTTAGACCTGAAACAATTCTGTTTGTGACGGCTGCACTGCTTCCCTTATCTTCCAGTTCAGGAAAATAGGTCGCTGTTGTAATTACTGGTTCGGTGAGGAAGGGGCACTGGTAAGAGGCTAAGTAAAAGAGAAAATGCAGTCTGAAAAATGGAGTAGCACCGATGGCGGAAGGAAAAGGAGACCACAGGAGGGATTTTAGGGAGGGTGAGAATAACCCTCTTGAAAGTGGTGGGTGTGTTTGGGAGTAGGGGAGAGTGGAGAGGAGGGCATCTCTGATGAAGAGGGCAGATTAAGTAAGAGGGCAAGAGTTCAGTGGGCCAGGCCTAGAGTGGGACCCACTTGTCCTGTTTCCCCTTTTCCCTGAGAGAGGTTGGGGTCCCACCGGGGCCATGGGCCTGGGCTTTGGACAGAGCTGGGTGGGAGGCCCAACCTACTCCAATTCTGAACTCTGCCCAGGAACTTCCACTGGAATGAGAAGACAGGACAAAGTGCAAGCAGGTTGGATCCAGCTCATCTTCACAGAAATACGGTCTTCTGCCCGTCCCTGAGAGTGGCTTCTTCACCACAAATACGTGAGTGGGAATCGCATCCTGCCTCTCTCTGTGCAGCTGTGTGTGTGCATGGGTAGCTTTCTTTCCCAGGCCCCACCTGGGTGTGCACTTCCACACGTGTTCTTGCTCGTGTCTGCAGGCATGCGTGCATGCCTCTGGGTATGCGAGCTTAACCAGGCTGGCATTAAGATAGTGTAGGGTTCTCCCCACCGAGGAGAAAAGATGAGGGAACAGGAGTGAGGAGAGGTGGGCTCTTAGCTGGGGCTCTTATTTACAGGTGAATTTAAGCCTCTGGACTGAGCTTCAGCAAAAAAAAGAAAAGAAAAGAAAAAAGAAAAAGACTATCTTGGTTCTTAGAATTGAAAAGTTCAAGGGTAGGGCTGGTTTCAGGTAGTTTGATCCAGGGACTAGAATGAAGTCTTCAGGATATTGTCTCTCCGTCTTTCAGAGGAGGGAAAGTACAATACAATAAAGATATCACTTAATGGCAATGTTTTTAACCCGTTGTGGGGAATGATGAAAGCTAGGGCCTCTCTTCAGGAAACTGTATCAGGTACATGTTCATGCTATACATAGTCTTTCCTTTCCTTGTGAAGTGGGAGAATGTCCCTGTTTCCTGCTGGCCGTGCAGATATACAGGGCTTGCTTCTCGCAGATACGGAAGCAAGTGCAGGAAGGGATGCCTTCCTCTGTTACTGGGGAGCCGTGGCCCCCAGGCACAGTGAGGGTGGAGCTCTGGGATGGTATAAGCTGTGCCAGGCATCCGCTTCCCGCTCCCAGCCCCCTCCCTGCCCATCCTCCTCCCTTCTCCAGTCTCCTCCCTGGTGGGTCTTGCCTGGCCTTTCCCTTTCAGTTTTGGGCCCTGACTTTGTCTTTCAGCTGGAAGATCTGGCACATGGAGGACGATGCACCAAGACCAAAAGAGTCCATCTCTTTTGCATCCATGGCCTATGGTCTGGAGAACACGGGAGCTGAGCTCTTAGACAGTCTGGTCTGTCTCCTTCCTCATTCCCATTCTGGGCCCCTGGTGGGAGGGGACTTTGTTCACCGTCTTCCTTCACCCCCTCTGCCTCTTCACAACTTTGCTTGAACAGTTAGGACCACCCCCCTCCCATCCCACCCCCGGCAGAATGTTCTGGCTTCTTCAAGGCAGAGTAGTCTCTCATTTCACTCATTAAATATTCATTGCATACCTACTAAGTGCCTGAAGAACCTAGTCTGAAAGGTTCTAGTCTGAAAGGTCAGGGAAGGTCTCAACAAGGAAGTGCTATTTGAGCTGTGATGTTGAGGATGAGGAGGAGAAACCACATGGGGTGGGGGTGATGGTGAGAGAGGGGCCCCTGGGGAAGTCTCAGCCTTTGAGGAGATGGCAGCTCCTCCTTGCTCTGGAATGGCCAAGTTGGGGCCTACCACCCAGAACTCTGGAGCCTAATGTGATACCCTCTTCCCTCCCAACCTTCCCTGACAAAGTCCCTTCCCCAAAGTTCCTTCCCCGTCACAACACTGCACAACCCAGGATGCGCCTTTCACACTGTAATCTGCACAGTGTGCCCTGGGGCCCTGCGACCAGGTGGCCCTGTCTGGGACACCCCACCAGCCACAGCTGAGGCACAGCTGAGTGTTCCTCCTTCACACAGACCATGATCTTCCCAAGGGCAAGGTGTGTCTAGCACAGGGCCTAGCACACAGTAGGTGCTCAATGCATGCTTTGAAAAATTTAATTAAGTTGCCCTGTAATCACTTCCTGTGCAAAAGCCCAGCCCTGACTCCAGCCCACGCCTGGGCCTCTCCCAACTCTGGGTCCCCACCTCTAGTTCTCACTTGGAACAGCAGGCACACTCTGGTCACTCTCTGGTGGCTTTAGGAGGAAGGCCGGACTCCTAGCAGTGACTTGAGACCCGCAGAGGAAAGGGATAATTGGAGCAAGTCCAGCCAGGAGCCCTTTTCAGGATGGTAGGTTGTCTCCAGGAGGGACGTGGGCTGGCCTGGCGAGGAGGGTACTGTTGGGAACAGGGATGGGGAGCATGGCCTCCAACGGATAGGGAGGTGGCTTCTTGAGCCTTTGCTGAAGACAGAAGAAAATGTGCTTTAGCCAGTGAATGGGCTCTGCTGGCCTCTGCCTCAGAGATGAGCCAAGTTAAAGGCTCTCAACCTGCTTTGAAGCAGCAAGAGTGAAATCCCATTGGAAACCCCAATATATGCTACGGGGCTGCTTTGGTTGAAGTTGGATGGAGCCCCCAAACCATCCTGGACCTGCTTTTAACCTCCCCCATCTGCCTGCTACTCCATTCAGTTTCTGAGAACCTTGGGGAACTTCGAGGTTTGGTTTGAAAAACCCTGGACTCGGCCAGGCTCCTCGTTTCGCATGGGAAGGCAAAAGCCCAGGAAGGGAAAGGGATGGGCCCAGGTAACACAAGCAGCAAGCTGGAGCCTAGAACTTGGCCTCCTGATGCCCAGGCACATGGGAGTCCTCACCGGCCAGTTCTGAGCTGAGGAGAGCAGGAAGGGTGGTGATGGCAGTGCAGAGGGCCATTCCGTCTGTCTGCCTTGGGGTAGAGAAGACTGGGGAGGGTACACTTAGGAGGTGGGAAGTGGAAGGTGGGGACAGAGAAATGGGAGAAAGGGCTCTTAAAACAGCAACTGGTACCAAATGAGCACTCAGCATCTCCTACGTGCTCAGTCTCTGGGACCCCAGAAGATATTCAGGTTCCAGCCTTTCCTGCAGGGATAAGCAAGTGACCAAATGACTAGGCGAGAATTGGCATTTGCACTGGGCCTGGGAGGCAGTGGGAGCCACAGCCGCTGGCATGGGCCGTTCACATCCTTTCCTTGGGAGGAGCTATTGACTCATTAAGTGTCCTGGGTCCCAAGGGAGCAAAAGCAAGCTGGGAGCCTTTCACCTTGCTCTCTAATGGGGCAGGGGAGGAGAGGCAGCCACCTGCTTTACTTTGTGCAGGTCTGTAAGCTCTTCCTTTGGTCAGTTCATTTCCTCCCAGCCTGCAGCAGGGTCATCACTGGGCTGGTGGTGCTGCTCTAGGCACACGGAAGAGGGGAGGGTGCCTGGCCTGAGCTTTTGCTTGGTTTGCTCCGGGCTGGGGTTGTTCTTCAGCCCTGTGGGATGTCCAAGCCAGGTCCTCGCTCGCCTCATGTTGTCATGGCGTGGCTTCCACCTGGAGGTGTTCAGGATCCCTATGGGGGCGGGAGTCTGGGGGCCACTCATGGACCCTTTGGTCCTCTCTCCAGGAGGAGCCTGCAGCCAGCCATGAGAGTTAGACACTTCTGCGGGGAGCACACACAGCTATTTCGATGGATCTGCATAGGCCTGCTCTGTACTGGTGAGCCTGGGGCATGACCCCACCTGGGACACTCCCACCCTAACCTCCCATCCCCTCCTCCATTTCAGCCACCTATCCTTCAGTCATCTATCTCTCAGGGTAAGCTTGTTCACTTACCCAATAATTCAACAAAACTTTGTTGAGCACCAACTCAAGGCCAGCTCTCGTGCTAGAAGCTGAGCCATGAGCATTAAGCCAGGCCAGACCTTGTTCCCAAGGCATTCTCTGGTCAGTAAGGGAGAAGGCAGCAACTATTGCCACATAGTGCAGCGAGACTTCTGGGAGTGCCAAGCAGGACTGGGGGTGATCAGAGGACTTTCAGGAGGAGTCTCACAGTTGAGCAGGAGTTAGCCAGGTAGAAGGAAAAGACAACAAGGAGTGAGAAGGCCCTCCGTGCAGAGAATCCCCAGGAGCAAAGACAAAAGGTGTGGGCAGGGTGCTGATCAGGTCTAGTGTGGCTGGGAAAGCAATGTTTTAGACGAGTGCCGGAGGACAAGCCCGGGTGAGTGGAAGGGGGCCGGTATTCTGTCAACATGAGAACGTTCAAACCTATAGAGCATTTTTTAGTAATTTATTTGAGCCAAACAGAGGATATGCCTAGAAACAAGATCTCAACAGACTGATAAAATTACTTCTGAAAGTACCAGTCCGCAGTTTCTTTTATGCATTTGAGATTAAGGAGGGAACATAGGGAAGACTACACGAAGGTGAGAGAAAGCCAGGCTGGGATCTCCCAACTCATGTTCTCCATCCAGTCTGACAGCAGAAAGGTAAGTAGGGCTTGCACTTAACTCACATGTTTCATCCCACATTTTTTATATAGTAGAAAGGCTATAAGTCCTTTTCGTTCCACAAGGGCCCTGGTTTTTGAAATTCATAAGCCAGGGAGAGATATTTCCTCCTCCACTGTCATATTCCTTTCTTGAGGCAGAGCATAGATTGACTTAGCTGCTCGAAGGGGACAAGGGCGAAGACGGTCATTGATTAATATTTCAGAATGGGATCCCGGCACACATGAGTGTACATCCTAGAGAAACCGACTAGTCCATCTCTGTCTTCTGTGGAACCTGCGTAGCTCTGGAACATAGCAGGCACTCTTTTGATGCTCAGAGATTCATGCTGTCTTGTCTCCTCACACACCTCCTCCCTCACATGTGGTCTTCACTTTACAGTTTGCAAAGCCCTTTCACACCCATTCTGTCAGTTAACTCCATAATAATCCCCCAACAGAGTAGGGGTGATCGTTCTCATTTCCAGGTGAGGAAACCGAGGATCTGAGAGGTTGCCTGACATTTCTGTTCCTGACATTCCTGCCCTCCAAGCTCTGGATGGAGGGTCTGCAGGGCCCTGTGTCATCATCACTGACCTTCTCTGTACCTTCCCCACCTATTCCCAGCATTCGCTGCCTTCCTGCTGGTTGCCTGTCTTCTGGATTTCCAGAGGGCCTTGGCCCTATTTGTCCTCACCTGTGCGGTCCTTGCCTTCCTGGCTCACAGCCTGCTGAAGAGGTTGCGGGGGCCAAAGCTGCTGAGGTGTGTCAGGCCTCTGGGGCCTTCCTGCCTGAACCTCTGGTTTAAGAGGTGAGTGAGCTCACAGACCCCAGGCCCAGTAGGGGTGGAGAAGGAGGGCCTGTTGGCTGAGAGACTCTGAGTCAGCTCCCAGGTCACAACCAGGGCTGGAAGATGGTTGCTTCTTGCCTCAGTCCGCCCTACCAAATAGTTCCTGTGCCATGGGGGACATACTCCACACTGCTTGCCTTCTGGGAACCCCAGGGCAGGCACTGCTGGGTGGCTTCAAAGGTGGCAGCCATCTTTGCGGAGATTTGTGAGTTCTCACATGCTTCTGTGCCCCAATTACAATGGGTGACTGTGATAGCAGAGAACAGGACTCAAAAGTATCATAAAGTGGGAGATCGCAGCCCTTGCCAGCAGGGATGGCCCATATCAGTGCCTTCTATTAGATCACCTGGGGCATGGGTGAGACGTACAGCTAAGGTCGGGGGGACCACCCCTGGAGTCGATACTTTTAGGTAACCCCCAGGGGATTCCAAATTAGCCACCCATGTCCCTGGACTTCAGTCTGGGATCCCTTGGTTTTCGAATCCGTTTCTTTAGAGCTCTGGAAACCTTGGAGATACCATTGGGCAGGAGAGGGAGTTGGATAGGCGACTATCAGACGCACCCCTCCGCCCCACTGCGCCCCCGGCTGTCTCATTTCAACCAGGCAGCTGTTTTATCTGTTTTACAAACATGTTGGCAAAAAAATTCACTAGAAAATAAAGTTTCTGTTGCTTAAAAAAAAGTCTGAAGAGCACCAGTCTATTTCTTTTTTGTTGAAGAAACTGGTGCCCAAAGACATCCGAGGATTAAGCCAGGAAGGTGCAGGGCACGGCAAAGTTTCCCGAAGTAAGAGCCACACACAACAGCAAAACAATCAGAGCTGGCTGACAGATGACACGTTTTAAGTTTTATTTATAAATAGATTTGCTTTTACATTTCCTTTTCTTTATTAAGTAGATTTATAAAAAGATTTGTATTTACACTTGTTCTCTGTTTATGACAAATCATTGATAGTGCTTTTCCATTTGAGGTATTGATATAAAGTTTTCTTTAAAAATATGTGCAGATTAATTAGACTATATAAAAACTAAATACTTGTTGATTCAATGGACGCCATCAAGAGAATGAAAAGAAAACACACATAATGGGAGAAAATATTTGCAAATATGAATGTTTGAATGTTCATAGCAGCTTTATCTGGAATAGCCCCAAACTGGAAACAACCTGAATGTCCATCATCAGGTGAGTGGCCAGGCCAGTTGTAGTCTCTCCATACAATGAGACACCTCTCAGCCATAAAAAGGGATGAACTGCTGATGCATGCAAAAACATGGACGAATCTCAGAATAATTAGGCAGAGTCAAAGAAGTTAGACGAAAAAGATGTGCTGTTTGGTTCCATTTATATAAAATTCTAGAGTATACAAACTGATCTGGTGACAAAAAGCAGATCAGTTGTTGCTTGGAGACAAGGAGGAAGGGCAGGTGCTAAACTCAGTACACACGTCCTCTTGTTTAGTCCTCTCCCAGCTGTAAGGAATGGGGAGTCTTTGGCTTCATTTTCCCGGTAAGGAAACTAAACTCAGGTTAGGTGGCCTGCCTGAGGTCACACAGCTCTTCCCTCGCAGCACCCCTGAGTGCCCTTTCTCTGGGGCTCTGGGTGCTCATGTGTGGGAGTGGAGCAGATGCTGAGGGTCATGGCTTTCCGCCTTTCCTGCAGGGGTCTGGCCCTCGCCGCTTTCCTGGGCCTGGTCCTGTGGCTGGTTCTGGACACCTCCCGGCGGCCTGAGCAGCTGGTGTCCTTTGCAGGAACCTGCGTGTTCATCAGCATCCTCTTTGCCTGCTCAAAACACCGTCACGCAGTGAGTGCAGAGTTGTCAGGCCCAGAGCAGGCCACAGCCCCTTCTGTCCCTCTGCCTCCTCGTGCTGCCACCACCTCAATGTGAGGACCCTCCCTGTTTCATAGTGCAGCTAACACCTCCCCGCAGGCTCCAGTGAAGCCTCCCAGAGATCCCGCTGCACACCTGAGTTTAGGCTCACTGCTGAGGAATTGCTAAATGCTAAGAGGAGTCCAGCTTCCCTCTGCCGGATTGGAAGCATTGAGGGAGTGGGGTGAGGACAGCTGGGGACCCTGCCTGTGGAAGAGGAATGGGGGAGGGCCAAGGCAGACAGAGGTTACCCTGAGGCCAGACCCTGAGACCCAACTCTGCTTACCCAGTGATGACCTAGGACCAACTGCCATGGCATGCCCAAGGTTGGTCAAGTCTTATGTGGGTCCTTGGCTAGACCTTGCCCACTCCTGCCCACTGTCCCAGGCCCATTGCTGCCCAAAGCCTGGACTCTTCTGAACTCCAGGGGGGATGTGACCACTGACAACAGGCCCAGAGGCCTGGCTGTGTCCAGCTGCTATCTCACAGGCAGGCCAAAGCTTCTATAGCCCCTCAGAGTAGCCTTGTGCCCTCTGCTCTCACTCACCCCATTCTCTCTGGGTCCCCCAAGAGCTGAGCTCACCAGGATTTTTCTTTTGGTGGCAGGTGTCCTGGCGGGTCGTGTCCTGGGGCCTTGGGCTACAGTTTGTACTTGGACTCCTTGTCATCAGAACAGAACCTGGGTTTATTGCATTCCAGTGGCTGGGTGACCAGATCCAGGTGTGTGAATGGTGCCCAGCTGCCCAGGCAATCTTGGGTTGCCAGGGAATGGAGGAGAAGCCACTCTGTTGGGGTAAGGTGGGCAGTGAGGCTGCAGAAAGGAATTGGGACCAGGATGGCAGGTGTGTACTGGGCCCTAGACGAGGTGGGCAGGCGTGGGCTGAGCTGTGCAGCTGCTACTTCCCTCAGGAGCTTGCAGTCTCCGAATCCCTCTCTCCCCCCTGGGGTGTGGGGAAGGCTCGTGGAGGCCCCCCTAGCTCCCCCAGCCTTGTTCGGCCTCACTCCAGGCCTTTGTTTTGTTTCCTTCTTTCAGATCTTCTTGAGTTACACTGAGGCCGGCTCCAGCTTCGTGTTTGGGGACACTCTGGTCAAGGATGTCTTTGCGTTTCAGGTCAGCTGACAGTCGGCCTACAAGGCCTATACAGCTGCTGGCCCAGGCCTCCGGCTCTGGGGAGTGTGAGCAAGCCATGTGGTCAGGCCTGCCTAGGGGTGGGGGGCTCCTGCGAGCAGAGCCTGGGTGGTGGTTTCACTCATGCTGGTTAGCTGCTCATCCTTTCGTCTTTCCTCCCCTTCTGGAGGAACGTGCGCACCCCTGCTACTCGCATCTCTCCCTAATCACCCTTCAGAACCATGGATTCATGGAGAGTTGGGTGTGAGGTCGCTCTGTGGTCTCGGGTCTCCCTTTATATTGGAGCCGGTCAGACTAAGCCCAGAGAGGAGCAGTGACCTGGCCGCAGTCATGTTATGAGTTAGGGCAGAGCCAGGGTTGGAGCTGGAGCATTGGACTACCAGTCAAGTAGTGTTTCTTCTCTAAGTAGAAGTCAGTGACATCATGCCTCCCTTCCAAAGAGCATCCCTAACAACAGTAATGATACCTTTAAGTTACATCACTGGTTGCTGAAGACTTTGAGATCAGATGTTCTGTCAAGAGAGAAAAAGTGAGGGCAGTTGGTTGATCATTCACCAGCCTCAGCATCGCCCTGTCAGACACTTTCCTGGCCCCTGGGAGGCATTGTCTTCTGGACAAACTCCTGGTCAGTGATTTAGCCAGTGACCTTCTTAGCAAAGATGGGCCAGGAGAGGGGAGACTTAAGACATATGCTCAGTGGCCACAGAATTCCCTTTCTCACAAGATTCACTGGTTGTGAATTTCATTCACAGCCCCCGTCACTGCATATCTCTTTCTCCCTCTCTTTGTCTCTCTGTCTCTCTGTCTCTCTGTCTCTCTCTCTCTCTCTCTCTCTCTCACACACACACACGCACACACACACACACACACACACACACACCCCTGCACGCACGCACGTGTATGCACACTTACCAGACTTGGGCTTGTCTTCAAGATGGGGATGGCTTTGTTGGTGCCGACTTGAATATAAGACTCAGAAACTTTCTTTCGGTTCTTTCCATGAACCATGTGGACCTAGTCCAAGGCCTTTGGCTCACATCAGCCTGGGGAAGTCTTCTCTGAGCTTGCTCAGATTTTCAGAATCTAAACTGCTTCCTGCTGGGCCGCAGTTCAGCTCCTCACTCCTCCGGGAAGTTTAGCGCCCCCGCCTCCCCTGGCCTGGAGTCCAGCGCAGTTGACATGGCAGCCACCTCCTGGCTGTATCATCTTGATTAGTCATTTCACCTTGGCTCCATCTCCCTTCTGGTAACTTTCCACCCACACGATCACCTCCCATCCTTCCTGGGTCCGGTGGACCTGGGAGCGAATGTTCACTCGTTCCTTTACTAACACTGTAGCCTCTGGAACGAGCACACACTTCCTAAGCTCAGCAGTGCTGCTCACACGGTGAAGGGTGAAGGAAAATGTTTTCATCTCCTAAGGGGTTTAGGATATCTCCCTGATGCAGCCTCTGCGACCTCCGGTGGTCAACGGCGTCAAATTTTGCACATAAATAAATGAAATAAGATAGGGACTGGGAAAAAAAAAGTAAGATAAGGACTGAAAGGTGCCATTGGATTTCGTAATTAAGGGGCCACTGGTTACCTCAGTAAGCAGAATTTTCAAAGGAGGGAATGGGAAGTAAATGGAGACCAGGTTGGGGTGTAGAAAGGAGGGAGATGGGACAGTTGAACCAGGAGAGATCTTGTAACAGCATGGCACCTGCAGAAGTCTCTGAAGAAGGCCTGACAGGCAGAGATGGGCACGAGGGACTGAGTGGCGAGGTCATTCTGGGCGAAGGAGTGGCATGAGCAGGAAGTCAGGAGGCGTGTCCAGTTTATCTGCTTTTGCTTAATGTTGGTGACGGGGCGACACTGCAACAGTCACCTCTGTGGAATCTTCCAGCTTTGGATTTTTGTGGTTTATTGTCTGGTGGCGGCTCCGTCAGCAGTGCTTGAGCCTCGGGGGCTGGCGGTGTGGAGGTTTGCCCAGACAGCCTCAGGAAGTCATCAGGAGTCCTGGCTCAGCTCCCTCCAGGGAGAGGAAGCAGCAGGGCCAAGTCCGAGTGAGTTTAATCCTGCCTTCAGAACCTGTTTCCTGGCGAGGACATGATGTCTGCTCTGAGGGCGTGGTTCTCAGAGTGTGAAGTCCAGACGGCAGCACCTGGAAAGGCCAAATTCTCAGGCCCACTGCAGACCTCTGAAACTCTGGGAGTGGGGCTCCAGTTTTGCATTTCTAACAAATTCTCAGGCGATGCTGCTAGTCCAGGGACCACACTTTGAAAACCACTGGCTGAGAGAGGTAGAAGTTCTTCTTCCTTGACTTACAGGTGAGCATTGCTGCCAGCAGGCCCAGACTGCTTTGAGTTTCCACAAAGCAGTGGTCAGGTCTTACTGGGGCAGCTGCACCCCGACTCAGGTTCTCCCTTGGAGAGGATGAGTGCTGCCCATGAAGACAGAGTAATGAGGCCTCAGGACTGGTCTAGGGCAGAGCTCCTCAGGGTCATGGCAGCGTCTTGGCAAACTGGTTGGGGGCTAGGACGTACTCTGTCTCTTTGCAGGGTGTGACCTTGGGCAGGTACCCAATGTCTCATACCCTCAGTGTCCCCATTTGTGAAGTAGAGTTACATCTACCTCCGCGGCTTTGAGGACTGATGAGTCACTGCATTGGGTACCCAGCACATAGCAGGACCACACCGTAGATACATGGTAGGATTTAGTGGCCCTCCCCTCTCCCTTCCCGTGGCAGCATTGTCTTCAGTTGCCTGCCGGGTCTTTTGCTACCTCACACACGACAGGCCCCAGGCATGTTTCCCAGCTGGGAGATCACATTGGCCTCAGGGATTTTATTGAGTACTAAATGTCTCACCACAGAAAATTGGGGCCACCTCTCTTCTCTTCAATTCATCTTCCCTCCCTAGATAGTCACCAGTTAACCCCAAGCGCAGCTTTCACCCCACCAGAGACTCCGCTCACAGGTAGAATGTCTCCCGGTTGCTGGTGGGAGCACGTCTGCTCCTGCAGACGACCGCTCTGGGCACACTCCTTCCTGGCTCTGGCAGTCTCTGCAGCCCTGCCAGCCTGCCGAGCAGTCCCTCGCAGGATAAATTTGACAAGCCGTCTAGACAGTACGTGATCCTCTATGCGTTTCACTCCAAGGGACAGCAGAGTGATGTCACACCCCTCGTGTTGGTGTGCAGCACCAGGCAGCCAGGAGGAGTCACAGGACAGGGAAGAGTTTCTTCAGCCGATGCCTGTGTTCTCTGTCAGGTGATATCCCCACTGCAGTGAAGAGCGTGACAAGATGTTGAGTGGAGCAGGTCCAGATAAACGCCACAGGCTTCGTGTGGGAAGAAAAGCACCAGCCCTGCAGTGGGGCTTGTCTCTTACCTCGGGGGAGGGCCTTGGCAGGCTCTTGTCACCAGGCCCACCAGATCAGCCATTCACTCTGAACTGGAGCCTAAATTTGATTGCTTAAGAGTCTCTCTTCTTACAAACAAAAACAGCCCTCCCCACCAACCCCCTGCTCTGGCCTCCTTCTTTTCACGCAGCCCTGCTTCTGCCCTCGCCGTCTCCACTTTCTCATGGTTCACTGACACCTAGCCTCTGTCCCCACCCTCGTCCGACTCTCTCGTCTAGGACACCGGGGACCCCTGAATCCCTAAGTGCCAGGCGTCCATCTCAGTCCCTACCTCTCCAGAGTTCTCTGATGCATCTGGCACAGCTGACCGACCGCCCCTTCTGGAAAAGCTGTCCTTGTCTCCTGGATGTCCTCCAACCCTCTGTTTGTCCTCCGTCTCCTCCATGCGCCTGTCCTTCCCCTCTCACCCCTTAAGATGCTGACCGCAGGGCCCCGGTCTTCGTCACTGCTCTTCGCACTCAGGGCGATTTCCTCTGAATTGTATCTCCTCTCAGCCTCAGTCTGCGCTTCTGTGCTCAGGAGCCCAAACCGAGGCCTGGCCCAGACCTCACCCCTGCTCCTGACCTTTCGTCCAGCTCCCCACTCAACATTCCACTTGGATGTCCCGCAGGCATCCCAAACCCAGCAAGTTCAAAACCGAGCTGATGAGCTTTCCCCAAACCTCTCTTCTGCCCGTGCTCCCCACCCCTGAGAAGTGTCCATGTTATAGAAAATTAGAGGAGCAGATGAGAAATTGGACATAGAGAAAGAAGAAAACAAAATGTCCACAGGCCCAGTACGCAGAAGCAACTTTGGCTGTTTGGGTGTCCTGCCTCTCGGCCCTCTTTCAGTGGTTTTAACGTTCCAATTTTCCCACTTACCATTTTAGCACGAGAGTACCGCTGTGTTGTTACTAGCACTGTGTAACTTATTTTAAAACTGTTTGGAACAGGTAACACATTTCAACAGAGCGAAAGGGAATATGGTAAAAAGCGAGCCTCCATCCACCCTGACCCCCAAGTCACCCAGTTCCCTCCCCAAGGCAACGGCCATCACCGGCCATTTGCAGATCCTTCTCGTGATACTGCGCGCCCACGCGACAGCACACCCAGTGCCACCCCTGCCCTTTGCTGTGCACCTAACAGCACCCTGTTCTCCACCTTCCCTTTTGCATTTAACAGCGATCTTGGAAATCATCCCCAAAGCCCAGAGAGCGCCCTCATTCTTGCCTCCGTACTTCAGCACGCCCCTTGACCATCCCGCAGGTCATCGAACTCGCCCTCCCCGGGGAGACCTTTACCGTGTTGCCAGTCCTCCCTGTTGTAAGTCAGCCCGCTGTGAAGCAGCACGGGCCGCGGCCCTGGCCTGGAGACTAGCAATGGATGTTAGAAAAGTTTTGAAGGAAGAATTACTGAGGCTTGGAGTGAGCGAAGAGAAGCGATAAGCCTGGGACCAGGGAATGGAGCGACAGGAGGAAACACGAGTTGCAGGTCCACGAGTAGTCCACTTCTGAGCTCGTTGGCAGTGAGTGGAAGTAGAGCACTAGAGAGATGAGGGACCCCTAATTCAGGCCCAAAGCACAGGAGGGAGGTTAAGGCTAGGGTCAGGGAGTGAGCTCATGGCAGAGGTCAGACACTGTGCAAGGAGCCAGGCCCCGAGCCAGCTCCTTTAACCTTCACAGCCCTGATGGGTAGGCATCCTGTCCTCATTCTACAGGTGATAGAAAGTGGGGGCCTCAGGTCCTGCCTCTCTACCACAGCACAGGCTTCACCTTTGGTGAGGGAATGGGGGAAGATCGCCGAGTGAATGGTCAGTATTTACAGGGGCCGGGGCTCCAAAGAGGGCCCATGTGTGATTTCATGCACTGAGTTCAGAGCTGCTTCCCTGACCCTGTCCGGCCTCCAAGTGGCAAGGCCTCAGATGGAACGGGCTGTCCGGAGGCTTGGAGGCCCTGCCCGGTCCCCTGCACCTGCCTGCCTCTGACCCGGGCCCCTGCTCTTTCCTGGCAGGTTCTGCCCATTATTGTTTTCTTCAGCTGCGTCTTGTCAGTTCTCTACTACGTGGGCCTCATGCAGTGGGTGATCCTGAAGGTGAGTTCCCAGTGCCATGGCCTGTGCTCTCCCAGCCACCTGCTCACAGGGCTCATTCTCTCCCAGAGTGCCATGCTCCCAGCCGAAATCTTCTCCCAGTCCCCTGCTCTGAGAGCTTGGACCTTTCCAGAATCCCCTGATCCCAGGGTCTATACCCTGTCAAACCTACTGCCAACCAAACATCCTTTCACAGAGTCTTTTGTCATGATACACTAAGTGGCACGAAAATCCAAGGAGGTCTTCGTGGGAGGGAAATTTGCAGAACTGAGGCTGCATTGAGAAGAAATGTTAGGGGAAAGAAAGATTTATACTTAAAGTTCTGAGACTGGAGCAGTGAGCCGCATTGGCCAGACTTAGCTGTTGTAAATGCTTATCTTCTGTACAACCTGCTGTACAAAACCAGGACACAAGAGATAGCATCGGTCCTGGCAAAAGATTCTAAGCTTTTAGCTGATTGAACTCAGAATAACCCGGTACCATCAGGTGGCTACCAGAAATGCAGAAACCACCTGTGGTTAGGTGAGAGCTCAGTGTCTGGCAGGAGGAAGGCAGTGATCCTCAAATCTGGAGAATGCGATCAACCAAGGAGCTGTGATGAACTGAATTGTTGGTGGGAGAGTGGAAGGGCCAGACAGCATCCGCAGAATGGCCGAAGGAAGTAGGAATGATGGGGCTGGGAAAGAGAAGGCCGGGGCAGAGGAGGGGGAAGGGCAGCCTGAGAGGTGCCCGCAGAGGAGAAAGTCCAGGGAAGCAGATTTCATCTTGATGGAAAGGAGGAACTTTCTAATTCATGTTTCCCACAGCCTTTTCCACAAAACTCTAGTTCTGTATCAGGTTAATAAATGCTACAAGGTAAAGGGATCCCATGGTCAGTTGATTTTGTGAAGCTAACAAATTTAAACGAGCTTCGTGCAGGACTTCTCTGAGCCTTTACTAAACAGTATGTACTGGTTACCTCCAAGGTATGTGTGTACAGTGCCTCTCAGATACATTTGACCAGGGAACCCATTTTTTGTGGATGGTAGGCCCCACTGACGGAGGTTTGGAAGAAGATGAATGGACCTTTTGGGGAAATCTATGTGGGGGGTTCTACCTAGGTTGGGATTTGGAAGGAAGATTTGTAAGGTAATTCTATCCCTGATTCTCTCTGCCTCTGAGGCTTGCTGATGCCAGCCCACAAAAAGCACCCTGCTTCCTTCTAGATTGCTTGGCTGATGCAGGTAACCATGGGCACCACGGCCACCGAAACCCTGAGCGTGGCTGGAAACATCTTTGTAAGCCAGGTGGGTCCTGTGGCCTCCCCAGGGAAGGCAGGGCTCTGGTTCGCTGGAGCTCTGATTCAGTCACGTGCACCTTCTCCCAGGGTCATCAAAGGCGGCTGCCCCATGAATGCATGTCCGGGGGTCCATTTTGCCTGGGTCATGCCAGGGAGGATGGTATCTGTCTGGCACCTTCTACCATTCTAGGTCTAGGCTGTCTTCATCAGCTTAGAGACTGACAAATCCTACAGTTGGAGTCCCACATTCTCCTTTTGTAAAGGAGGAAAGCAAGGCTCAGGAGTGGGAATGACTTGCCAAGATCCCACAGGATAAGCCAGGACTTAGAATCCAGGTTTCCTCTTTCTGACCAGGGTTCTTTGCACTACCTAATTTTGTCTTTTTCCTCCTCCCTCTTTTTGAAAAGGTATTTTCCAAAGTAAATATGACTCTGAAGGCACTATAAGTCCCCTGTCCCTTTCAGAAGGCCTGACCCTCCCGAGAGTGAGCCTCTTCAGACTGTTCCTGGAACCTGGCCCATCTGCCCAACATTTGAGTCACCAAAAGACATATTTGCCTTTCCTTCTGGCAACCCCCAGGCTTCATTAAGAGCTCAGGCCTGGAGTTACATCTGCTTCTGGCCCTTTGTGTGAACAGAGATCATTCTTCGAACCTCTCTGATCCTGTTCGCTCTCCTGGAAAATAGGGATGATCTCTTTTTTCTCAGAAGGTTGTGAGTAATGAATGTGAGGTGCTTAGTGGGGTGCCTGGACATGGTAGGCACTTGATACGGAGGAGCATTATCAGGCCAAGGGGAAGGGCTGGGGGTCCTTGCACAGAGCCCAGCCAATGCTGAGGTTCAGAGAGGCTCAGCCAAGCACAAGCCACAGTCCTTACCCCACCTGCTGTCTCTTCTCCTGAGATTTCAGCACTCACTGTGACCTGCTCACCGCTGGGGAGGAGACGCCTCCAGGTGCCTGTGCTGGCCTAGCCAGTTCTGTTTGTCTGATGTCTTTCCTGTTTGCAGACGGAGGCTCCTCTACTGATCCAGCCCTACTTGGCAGACATGACCCTCTCTGAAATCCATGTTGTCATGACCGGAGGCTACGCCACGATTGCTGGCTCCCTGCTGGGCGCCTACATCTCTTTTGGGGTATGAACACACTTGATGAGAGTATAATTTGTCATTATCTTTTTGGAGAACATCTAGCAGTCAGTTTTGCAATACTCCTTCCTTTAGACCCAGTTAGAAATATTACGATATAGAAATATGTTGATGAGTGTTCAAAACATGCAAAATTCCAACATTATTTGTGATAGCAAAAAGGAACAAACAAAAGAATGTAAATGTCGAGCCGTCAGGGGATGAGTTGGGTAAGTTTCTCCATACAGTGCATTGCCACTTAGACCCTAGAGTGAGGTGGACCACGGTCTGCCTTTCACTGTTCCTGATGCTGTGTGTGCATGTGTGAGGGGATGACACCCACAGTCTCCTTCTGTATTCTCAAGTTCCACCTGTCTCTGTCCTTGGGGGTGGCTGAGAGGTGGGCTTGAAACAAGCCAGCCTGCCCCTCGGCCCCTCCTTCCCTCAGGACATTTGGGCCACACTAGTAACCTCATCAGCACAGGCCCACACAGCTGCCTGGGTAGAGAGGCGGCTGCGTGACTCTTCAAGAAGGCCCCTTGCACTCTGGGGCTTGATCTTCTGGCCTGGCACCCTCCCATCTAGCATTTTAGAGGTCACCTGATTCGCGCCAAGGCTTAAGAAAGGCCTATCAGAGCTAGTGCATCCCACCCCCACTTCCACCAGTTGATTTAGGAAGGAATTTGACATTTCAAAAATGGAAACTCAAAACTGTTCCCGAAATATTTTATGGTGGCGTATTAGAGGAGAGGATGCTATAATATTTTGGAGACTTAGGACCTTTAACTGTCTTAACCTGTTTCTGGGTCTCATAGCTAGTTTAAAGAATGGTATTATTTCTACTACGTGGATGTAGCTGCCATTACAGCTTAGCCTACTTTCCTCCCCTTTCTTAGGCCTCCCCACTGACAGGGCCTGGATATCCACTTCCCTGAATCTCTACAGATTGCGCAAAGGCTGCCAGATCAACCAGGTGGTCATGGGCCTTTATGTACAGCCCCTAGTGTGGCAGCCCCAGAGCTATCATCATAGCTGGCCCAGGTGAAGAGCACCTCAGAACTTATCTGGTATCAGAGAAGCTCTCTTCTGCCCCCACCTGGCTCTCGGCCGCCACTGCAGCAGCTTCGGGGTCTCCCACAGCCCTGCCTTTCTGCCCTCTCCCTTCTTTCCTTTCACTCTCTCCTCCAGGCCGTTCTTCACTGTGTCTTTGGCTCTGCCCTCAACCCCTGAATTCCATAAAGATCCCTCGTGCTCTCTCCGTTCTCCTTGTTGCTCGGCTTCTGGCTCCCTTTGCCCTTCACCCCTCCTATTGCTAATACCTGGATATTATAGACCTGTGCTGTCTGACATAGTAGCCACTCACCACATGTGGCTGTCGAGTACTTGAAATGTGGCTGGTCTGAAATGAGATCTGCTATGAGATATCATATGGGAAAAAATATATATGTATATTTTATTAATAAGTTTTATATTGATACATGGGTGGAAAAAACATTTTGGATATATTGAGTTAAATCAGATATATTGTTAAAATTAACTTCACTTGTTTCTTTTTTATATTGGCTACTAGAAAATTTAAAATCATGGATGTGGTTCCCATTATATTTGTGTTGGACAGTGCCGGTCTAGACTTTCTTCCCTGGTCTGAGGTCCCAGGGGCCACCTGACTGAATCCTTTCATGGGGGCCTCCACATACATCTCCATTTTCACCATATTTCCCAAAAGCTCTAAAGCAAGCACCAGCTTTCTCTGCTAAACCCAGAAATTGGTCTCTCTACCCACCCCTCTGGTTCAAGGGCCACCATGAGAAGATATTTAAATGTGTGTCTGGAGCTGTGGACCAAGGCTGGGCAGGGTAACATTGAGGGGGTCAGCCACTGATGCTCCTCAGTTGCACAAGAGTGAGATCCCTTGGGACAGGGTCTGTGGCGTCCTGAGCAGGGCCAAGTGAGCATTTACCTGTATGTCTGTCAACAGGATTACTGCCCACCTCATAGCAGTTTAAGAATTAAATACAAAACCAGGCAGAAGGCACTTCTCATGATATCGAAGCCTTGGTAGTTCTTTCCCAGACATATTAGGAAATCCATCCTTCTGAACTGGACCAACTTTATGCTTTGTAGTTGCCTGGATTTATTTCCTTTCCTAGTAAAGAGCTTTTTGAAAATTCAAAGAGAAGGCTCAGACCCTCTGTCCTTCCCTAACCTGAGTCCTAGGATGCTTGG